TAATTCCCTTGCTTCAGATGTTAGACTGTGAGAACAGCTTCTTTCTTTATATTTTGGGTTGTGAGAACGACTCCTTTTTTCATATGTTGAACTGCGAGAATGATTTCTTTTTTCTGATGTTAGGCTGCAAGAATGTTCTCTTTCTTTATCTTTATATTGTAAGTTAAAACAATTACTATCATCTCTGTCATTAGTCTATATTAAATTAAAATAAACTTTGTATATTAATTAAATTTAATATTTTAAAAAATAAAAGAAATTATATCTTGCCAATATCAGTTATTGTATGTTTTGATTTTGGACGTGTCAAAGAATTTAAGTCGGTTATGTTAACTGAAGAATTATTTTTTTATTTTTTTTCATGACAATAAACAAAGAAAAAAAGAAAAGATGACTTGATTAATTTTCTCAAAAAAATATGTCTTTTTATAATTTTTATAATGATTGGTAACCAAAGTTTATTTATAGTCTATTATTAACTAAATTCAATAGCGGGTGAATTGAATCAATCATCAATTGAATACTAACAGTTTATTTTTCTCTTAAAAACATTCAAGAAAATTCCTTTTAGTAATAATTAATTTATTAATAACGAATTATTTATTTAAGTCAATTTTACTACAATTATTTCATTTAAATCAAATTATTATCATTCTATTTAGTCAATTAATTACTTATTCATCCCAATAATATAATGTTTACATGTAATGAATGTATAAGAACATTCTCGAAGCATGCATCAATTCGTAACCATGTCAAAACACATGCGGTTGATCATATAGATGAACAGATACATATTGCTTCTGAAGAATTAAAAAAAAGTACAGAAAAAGTTCGATATTCACCAGTTAAACATTTGCCCATTATTGAAGATATTATTGAAGATATTAGTGATCGAGAATATGAGAATAATATTGATATTAGTAGTGATGATAGTGACGAGATTCTTGGTACAGATATTATTAATGATGATAAATATAATGAGATTAATAATTTATCTTATTTATTATTTGTTATTTTAATTATGATAATATGAATATATTATATGTTAATATTTGTATTGTTTTACTAGAATTTTGTATATCCGTTAGAAATAGATGTTACAAACAATAATCTATCATTTGTTCTTAATCTTCAAGATATTGTGAATAATAAACGAAGTTTCTCAAGTCAGGAATTCGGTGATTTTATGAATATAATAATTAAGCGAAAACTTTCAGAATTAGTTGGTAATGAAATCCTAAAATTTGTAAAAAGAATTTGTCAAGATGATGTGATATTACCGACATCAATCAAGTAAGGGTATCAGATTGTAGACAGTATAAAAATGCCTCATTTAGAGTTTCAAAAACAAATGTGATAATATACAATGATGAAACATATTATTTATTTCATCGTCCGATACTTGACAGTGTAAAAGAATTATTAGCAAATAAGGAATTATTTGAATTATGTATATTTGATTACATGACTTTGTATAATAATGAGGAGAACAGATTTATAGTGAACAATATAATGGAAAATGGTTGAGTAAAGATCATAACTCTCTACCTAATAATGGAAAGGTGTTATCTATTATCTTATATTCTGACGCTACAACGTGTGATTTTCTAGGAAAATCAAGCAAACATTCCATTTACTTGATGCTTGGTAATATCCTTAACTGGCATCGTAATAATCCCGATACGAAAGTTGTTATAGGATATTTGCCGAAAATTAAAGCAAAAACTAATTCTGAAAAAAAAATTCATATTTATTAGCTAAACGAATTATTTATCAAAATTCATTTGAAATAATAATCAACACATTACTTGATTATAAAGATTGTGAAATGAAAATTATTACTCCAAATGGTGATAATCTGTGGTGCTTTCCATTCATATCTCAGATAATTGGAGATATTCCTGAATAAGCATCTATAATATTAACATACAATTCGATAAATTGTAATTGTCCTTGTAGTATTTGTATAGTATCAGTTGATGATCTTAATAATATAGATTTAAAGATTGAAGATATTTATATTAGAACATCACAGGATATGCAAAAGGTTATAATAGATGGTGATGTAAAAGAGTTCTTATTACATGAAACAGAAAGCATATTCTGGAAATATCTGTAAGTTTACTTTTTTAAAATATGTTTATTAATTTGTTAATACATTCATTAACTAATAATATGTAATTCTATTATAATAGTAAACTTAATATTTATACAGCAATCGTTCCTAATAGGATGCACTATTGTGATTTGGGTTTATTTAATCATCAAATGACTTATATGCGAGATTTATTAAAAAATCTATGTAGACAAATAGCCATAGATAAGTTTGATAAAAGACTTTCTGAAATACTTAGATTTTCTGGGTTGAAAATATTTAAGCATAGTCTTGAAAATATAAAAAGATTCACTGCTGATGAATTCTGAAATATGATGAAAGTGTTAGTATTCGTTATGGATGGGTTTTTATAAAATATTGTAGTTTATCATTATCAAATAAAAGAAGAATTGATGAAGACTTGATAAATGTTTATGTTTATTAGAATCAAATGTATATTTATAGTCATCAGGAAAATTTTTCTGAGAAGATATTGATTAAATTTAAGATATTCAACTTATAAATATACAATTTTTTATTATTAATGAATATGCAATTATTATTATTTACCAATTATTATATTTTATAATAGGATTTAATTAAGAAATGGGCAAAATTATTTGTTAAACTATTCAAAGAATATTCACGTTTAGGTTTATAACTCTTAAAATTACACAACTGGTATTATCATGTAATTCTAGCAATTTCTGAATTTAATGCTATTAACGGATTTATCACAGAAACATACAAATATTTACATAAAACTGCTGTCAAAAATCCATATCGTTCAAGTAATAAACGTCAGGCAACTAGTGTTCCGCACAGATCGGATCGGATCAGATTTGGGCAAAATCCGATTTGATCTGAATCCGAAAAATCCGAATCCGATTCGATCCGAATCCGACAAATCCGAATCCGAATCCGAATCCGTATCCGTATCCG